TCAGAACGTTAACACTGATGACACCTGGGTGTCCACCTACTCTAAACTCTTCTAAGTGAATTTTGTGAATTCCTTTGGATTCTTCAAAAAGGAAGAAAACAGAGGTCCAGAGAGGCAAAGTGATTTGCCCAAGATCACTTAGCAAGTGAGGGCTTTCCCTGAGTGCTCCCCCGTTCTCATCTGCTGATGGAAGCCTTCTAGGCTTGGGCCATTCCAGGACCACTTTCTCTGGGTCCTGAATTTATCTGTCTTCTGCCTATTTCACTTCAGCCCATCTTCAGCCTTTGCAACCATCCCCATGCCCTGGAGAGGGGTCTCCACAGGCTCCTCTTCCTCCGGTACTTTCCATACTTCCCTCCTGACTTGGCTTTGCCTCAGATCCACATCTCATAGATCAGTAGTTTCCTTGGATCGGTGGTCCAGCAGACCTCCATCCCAGGCCTCTGTCATCAGGATTTCCTTTCCCGTCCACCTACCCGACCCCTGGACCTGCATCCTTGGCAGAAGACGCCTCCAGCTTCCCTTAACACTGTGCACCTCCTTCTATTAAGCCAGACTGCCTAGCACCTGCTTTATGATAGTTGATGTCTCTGCATCTCCTCCAGATTATGATCTCCTTGAGGCCAGGGCCTTATTCATGGTTCTACCCTCAGTGCTTAGCATGTTGCCTGATCCACAGTTTATGCTGAGTGAATAAATGCTAAATAAATAAAAGCATGAATGAGTGAATGAACAAATGAATGAACATCAGGTCTGTTCACCATTGCCCTGTGGTTTTGCTTGGTGCCACTGACTGTGATTACATGTAATCACATAATATATAGTATATGATTGTATGTAATCACATTATACATATCATTACACATTATATATATTATATATGATGTATTTGATTCAGGTGGAAAATAAAATAGAGGGAGGAGAGGGAAGGGAAGAAGGATCGGGAGAAGCCTGGAAAGAGGAGGTAGACTGAAGCCAGGGACTCCACATTTACTGTGTGCCATCCACAGAGAGGAGTCCTCACTGCAGAATCCCACGTCATTGGTGGGTCCCTTGTCTCTAAGCCCGTGGCAGGCAGATGGTTATTCCAACCTCTGCAGGGCTGAGGGACTCAAAGTTCTCACCCTTAGCCTGACACACCGGAGCCCCTGTCCCCGACTGGGTTTCTCACTGTAACCAAGGTCCTCAGTTAAGAGTGAGGGGACACAAAGTGTAGGTTCTTCTCCTCAAGGGTGCTATTCATCAAAGAGGGAGGCAATTCTGCTGGTGCCTAAATAGAGGCAACTGTCCTGACTGTGTTTTTAGTCACTGGGAAGGAGCCATGGCAGTTTCTTCACATGGCTATTCAAACACAAAACAAAACAAAGCAGAACAGAGGCTTATTTGCACCCGGTCAAACCAGCACTCCTTTCCCATCCCCAGGACAGACAGCCTATGTCCTCACATCCCGCTGATGCCTTTGGAGCTTTTCTCCTTCTAGAGAGCAGTCAAGGCCCGTGCAACTTGATTTTGCCCTCCCCCATCAGTGGTGACTGTTGTTCCATCTGATACCCAGTGACAAATTGAAATGGCAAGCAACAGGATATATTGGAGTATATGAGGAAGCCATTTGGTATAAACCTAATTCGGCCTGACTTTGTTTTTTTTCCAAAAGGGCCTGACTGTGGCTGTTGAGCACGCATTGCATATCTACTTTAAAACATTTCCTATGGCAAGAACGAATGGCCTTAAGATAAAGGTGCAACTTCCCCCCACATTGGCATTTCCTTAAGGATAAGCATCTTTCCTTGGCTAGGAACTGATTGCTGTGCTCACCTTTGACCCCCAGCTCACCTGTGACCACCCAGCTTGAGACAGCAGACCTGCCACCCTGCTGTGTTCACCCAGACAGCAGACCTACCTGCTGTTTCCATCAATCGCTGTGCCGACAGAGCAGTCTCGTGACTATTGCAAAAGGGACATTTCAATCCTAGGTGAAATATCCTCTCTGGGGGTATATAACCACTCTGTGCACCCCACTTCTTTGGTGCCCTTTCTTCCTTCAGGAAGAAAGGCCCCGGACCATGGTCTTCAAATTTTAGCTCAGAATAAACTCTCCCAAATTTTCATTTATAGATTGGTTATGGATTATTTTCGTCGACACCAGAGTGACGGTTCCAAGTTCTCTTCCTCCAGCTCTGAAGGACCAGAGTCCCCTGTGCTCACAGAATGTGGTGGTGAGACTTCCTCTGTGGTCTGGAGAAAGCCTGCCCCTCTCTGGGCTTTAGTATTCTTCTGTTTAAAATGAGGAGTTTGGACCTCTTCTAAAGCTGAGTAGAGTTTTCAGTTTACTTCACCTCTCTGTGCCTCACTTTCCTTATTAGTAAAATTGGACAATAACAGGACCTACCTTGAGAATCGAGACTGGACGTGTAAAGCTGGAAGAACTCAGTAAATAAGAGGTATTATTTTTAGTTATCTTTTCATTCATTTACACAAGTCTCGGTGAGCAGCTTCCATGTGCCAGACACTCATGCCAGATGCTGGGGGAGCTTGGTGAGAGAGTCGCAATACATGGGGGAGACACAATCTTATAACCCGAATTTCAAATCCCACGTAAACTCTGGGGAGCTGAGGACGAGACCTGCACAGTGCCAACACACAGCAGGTATTGAAGAAATGCTTGCTGAAGCCATGCTGGAATGAAAGAGGGAATCATCTGTGAATGAATGAGCAGTGCAGGCACAGCCCAGCAATACCTGAAAGGAAACTTCAGGTGCATTCCCTGAGGGGTCAGCCCTCCATCATTTGAGCTAATTAATGGAGGAAGTGCGGACAAAGGCAAGCAGCTGATCCTGAGTGCCCCCTCCTCAGGCTGTTAGGAGATCTCTGTGGTTTTAGGCAGTCCTGGCAGATGCCTGGGGCGCCTCTCCTGGGTGCTCCCACAGCGCCCTCTGCTGCCTCTATCGAAGCGCGTTTCACTGTGGACCAAGGAACTCAGAGGCAAGCGTGCAGGATTAAGGCGCCTGGAGGAAACTGGTGAAGCTGGCTGGGCCCGAGAACAAGAGCAGCACCAGGAGGGTGGCTTGTGGCAACTCACGTGGGCCTTGGGTTGGGGACACTAGGGAGTGGTGGAGGCTGTGGGGAGTGGGAGTGGTCCTAACTTGAAAGGACAGCCGGCAGTCAGCCTCAAGAGAAGGCGGGAGCGCGTGAAAGTGGACCAGGAGCTGCCGGACCTCGTGAAGGTCCAGGAAATCTAAATTTTTAGGTGAAAAGTCCCACTTATAAATTTGTCAAGTAATTTTAAAGGAAAATCAAAACATTGACAATGAAGCCTTGTGTGTGCCGAGCGAAGTGTGATGAAGGCCGATGGTGTGTAACCTCTGCTCAGCCCGGAGTTGTTGACTTTGCGGGGTGAATCCTCTGCTCTGCTGTGGCTCCTCCAGGCAGGGACGCTGCTTGACTCGGCTCTGCAGTCCTAGGACGGAGCCAGGGCCTGGCTCGGTGGGCATTGGACGGACATTTGCTGAATGAATAAATGCAAGAGTGCCCTTTCGGCAGAGCCATCGGCTGTGAGCATCTAGTGTGGACTCAGGATGAAAGTAAAAAGGGAGGCGGGGCAGAAGAGGATCAGCGGTTGGCAGGAGTGAGCAGCTAGACAGCTGCCTACAACTCCAATTTCATTTCAGAGATACATGGTAGACAAGTAAAGAACCCTGGTTGACAGATTCTGGTGAGAGCTCCCTACCCCCTTCTCCATCACCAACACCACTGTGATGGTGAGGGTGACAGAAAATCCCAAGGCCCAGCGTGCTGTCAAAAGTGACTATAGAGGAGCCTTTCCAGAGAAACTGCTTTGCTGTCCTGAACCTTGGACCGGGCCAATTTAGACCGGGCCAAAATGACAATGGTTTTATGTGTCAGCAGGAGAACGGACATCCTGATCACAAAGACTGAGGACTGTGGCCTTGCTCAAGATAGAGTCAATAGTCAATCAATGTTTAGCCAAAACTAGGTCTCTGCCTCCACATTTAATTAAAATTCTTTGTAACACAACCTTCCTTCTTTGCCTTAAAAGCCTCTGACTTTTAGTCCCAAGTGGGACACTATTTGGGTTTCTGTCTGAATCTGTGTTGCCCTAATTGCAATTCTTAGATCCCAGCTAATGGTTTCCCTCTTAAATTGGTTTTTGTTTTCACTGGTTGACAATGGACCCTCAGTTTGAGGGTTGGGTTCTGGTGAGAGGCGCCAGTTTTCTTCTGGCCTCCCCATTTTACCAGGCCCTTGGACAACCCAGAGTAAGGAACGGGAGGCTATTTTAGATGATTCACTAATCATCAGAGCATTTAGCCCACTGGGCAGCATTTGAATACCCTATTCTTTGAGTTGAGTTTTATTAATGTCCTTGCTGATCTGCCCATTCCTTTATTTAATGAAGTTAGGAGGTTGAGAGTGGAGAAGGAAAGAAAACTTCCAAAATCTCTAAGGAGAAATTATATTGTGGGGCCAGGGGGCTATCAGTGTAGTTAATGTAGGACTCTCAACATCCACCTATAGTCACACCACACACACAATCAGTCTCTCTCTCTCTGTGTTTCTCTCTCTCTCACACACACAGAACCTCCTACGTAGTTATCTCTCTAATTTCCCAAGAGTGGCATCTAAGACATTTAGCTGGAAATTAAAGTTTATTTTAAAGAACACTATGAAATTCCCTATGTGACCCTGTTCCCATATCATCCATTTGGGACAAGTTGGAAAATCATCAGCTATAGTGTCTTGGACTTTTCAGAATTCTTAAGTCCTGGAACCAATGACTCAGGACCGTGGGGCTGGAAGAGACTCGGGAATAGTTTGGGGGAGAACACGGGGAGGAAACATACAGTGGTGGGCACTGAAGGTTCCCAGAGATGGGGAGTGGGAGACGACACAGGCCTATTTTTCTTCCTTTGGGTTTTCCAGTTCTCCCTCCACCCGCCAGGAACGTCATTCCGCCGGAGAAAAGCAGGAGACCAAGAGAGTCCTGAGGCATCAGCTACTTTATTGTTGTGCAGGGACAAGTCCAAGGGCCAGCCCCACGGGCCATAGCTCTGCTACTCCTGGTGGCTTGCTTCATGGGCTGCCAGGGCCACCTTGATCACCAGGATGAGGAACTCCTCGAAGTTAATGGCACCATCCGCAGTGAAGTCCAACTCTTTGAACCAGGCATCTGCATTCTTTTCCTGTCAAGATTGAGGAGAAAGAGGCCAGTGTCTGAAGATCTCAGGCAGAGCTGAGGCCTGGCTGTCTCCACAGAGCAGCATAGGGGAGCAGTGACTCAGGGCCTCCTCAGAGCCTGGCAGAGAACCCCAACCACACCATCCCCTCCTCACCTTCGTGTACTGGGGACACTCTGTCTCTAACAATTTCTTCAAGTCTTCCTTATAGACAGCGTGATAATTCCCTTTAACGAGGGAGTACTTGTGGTAGACATCAATGAGGGAGTCCATGGCTTTCTCCAGGTCTGTCAGCATGGTGCCCAAGGATTTGCCCCACCTGGAAGAGAAAGCTCATGGGGATCTCAGAGTGGGGATGGTGGCTCTGCCCACAGCAGACTGAAGACTAGGGGCATACTCAGAAGGTTCATATCCCAAGTCATGGCTTTGTCCTGGCCTGCACCACCTAATAACTAAAACCAGCGATGGCTACGGCCATGATGGGAATGGGAGGGACCACATGGATACACGGTTGGGAGGGGTTAGGGTCACACACACACACACACACACACTCTCAAAGTGCCTGCTAACTCTCCCTATGCCCTGTCCCTCTGCCCAAAAAGGGCCTAACTTGGGAAATGAATATGCCCTCACCTGAAAATGCTAGAGGATTCGGCTTTTTCTTTGTCCCTGTCTCACTCTCCTCCTCCAGGAGCTCTGGATTTTGGTCCAGACCTCCCTGAGCTTTCTCTCCCCCTCTCAGAAAAGGCTGCTCCACTCCCTGGCCCTCCCTAAAGGAAGGCCAAAGTGTGGGGCAGACAGGGACGATCGCACTCACCTGGTCTCCCTGAGAGAGAGTTGACAGAAGATATGCAGGGCTGAGTGCTGGCTCCCTTTTATAGCAGCTGGGCTTGGCCAGCTGCCCGGGGCCTCAGGCCAGCCAGAGCAGCTGCTCACTTCCAGAGTGGCTACGCCTCTGGTTTCCCAACCAGGTGAATGGGGCAATCACTGCGCAGAAGGAAAATTTCTGATGGGGCGGAGGTTAGCGTGGTGAGTGGAAGACAGAAGGCGTTTTCCAGGCAGCAGTGCTCTGCAGGAGAATCTACGAGGAGGCCATGGTGAGGACTCCTTTTATGGGCCGCTGGCATCCCCTGGCCTGGCCAAGCAGGATGCCCACTCCTGAGTCCTCCCTCCTGATGATGATTCTAATCCCATTCACTGTGTCCTGTCTGTGCATCTCTGAAATGGAATTGAAGTTGAATGCAACATTTTGAGTGTACGCCTTTATACACCAAGACCCCTAAAAGATTAGGAACACTTGTTCTAGCTGCTGGGTTTTTGTAAAGAAAAGGAGAGTATGTCTGTTATTGTTGTTGTTTTTGTGTGGTTGTGTAATGGCCAAAGGGGGTCGTCTATTTGTCTCAAGAAACGCCAACAGTTAAGAGGCAAGGTGGTAGGAGAGAAAGGGTCTTTAATTACAGCTTGTTAGCAAGGAGGAAGATGGAAGACTGGTGTCCAAGAACCATCTTAAAACTCCAAAATTCTGAAGCAGTTATATAGGACAAATGGGCTGAAGGGAGGGGATCTCAGAATGTTGACCTTCTGGCTTTGTAGTCCTTGAGACTACAGAGCATCCCTTTTTTTGGTCATTGGTGACAGATGCCAGCAGAGGGCTTTTCCTTGAAGGTTGTTACATCCCTGGAAAAGCTGAAAGAACAAAGTTATTGCCCTCTTGGAATAGGGAGGTCTATGTGTAATCCAAGGTTACGAAAAGAGCAGACCGTGCATATTTCTCCCAAGCAGGTGTGGACTTCTCTAAGCTACATGCAAACGAAAGCTTTGCTAACAATGCAAAGGGGGTGTTTGTGGATCAGGGTCATTGATAGTCCTAACATGGTTCCCCTCTATAAGATGGCTTCCCTTATGCTAACCTATGTTAACCATTGGCTGTACTTATCTTAGCTATTTAGGTGGCGCTAAGTTTTCCGCGTCAGTTGTATCCCTCAGCATTATCATATGCTGGTGTAGGGAATACGCTGTTGTGTCCAGTCTGGCTCTTCCTGCTGAAGTTGGGTGCCCTGAGGGGACCACGGCATGGACGAGATTTGCTCTCTTTTTAAAACGAGCCCGGGGTGCCTAAGGGTGAACTGCTGTGCTATTGACCTGGAAGCCTTGGTGGTTAAGATGGATATACATTTTATTTCAATTTTAATGGCTAAATATATTAGCAAACCTTTCAACATCGATTTTAGGCCACCTTTTATGGTACCCACAAGAATGGATTGAATTCCTGCCGGTATCCAGGAGAAAAGGTTAGTAAACCAATCACCTGTTCCTGACAGGAAAGGGGTCCTCTGGTTTTAGGTCATTTGTATCCAGGTGGCTTGTTCTCTTATTTTATTAACACTGGCTTCTACTTGGGAAGAAGTATTGATACAAGCGTGGCCGGTGGTGTTAGCAACTGTATACACGCCACCTTGTTCTGCAAGGACGTCATCCAGAGCTGTCCTGTCATCCAAGACGACTTTGGCTCAAGAGTCAAGAGAGGCTTGTAAATTAGTGAGAGAGTTAGTGGTTTCATTAGCTGTAATTTCAAGAGTACGAGCTAAGGTCCGAAGGACACATTGGTGGGCTGCAATTGCCCACCAAGCTAACAGACTAGACCCAAAGAAGTAAGCATCCCCATCAGGAATTCCACCGGGCAAACCTGGGCTGACTCTAGTGAGCAGGTTTAGGGAGTTTGTCCTTTGTTTAGCTTCTTCATTAGAACATAAGTAAAGAAGTATTGCAAGGGTGTCCAACAGGCATTGTCCTGAGTCTGCTGGACTCCACAGACAGTTGTGTGCCCAGTGTATTCTGCTATGACTGCATATGAATATATATCCTTCAGGGGGACAATACACATGGTCAATGTCTATGCTGATCGCCAGTGCAGGCTTTTCCACTCAATTGTGACCTGGAAAATCTGAGTCTGTGGGTTCTCCAGGAGTGATTTGGATTACAGACAAGGATGGTTTGGTGTTTATGAGGAGTTGTGTACCTATGCCAGATTTAATCAGAATATCTGGGTTGCCTTTTTGAAACTTGCACAGAAATAAAATCCAGCATCCAGGGAGGTGTCATTGTTAATACAATGTAAAAGTCTAAATTATTTCTTTTCGTGGTTCTGCAACAGTTGTGATCTGAGGGAAATGGTGCCCATTAAAAAGAAAGAACAGTTCTCAGCTCACTTCAATTTCTCTCAACCAGGTAATGGAGCCCATTGGGGAGGTAGACGATAAGGCACAGTGTAGGGTAACATTGTTGCCAGGTGTTACATTGAGCGTCCTTTTTAGTTGAACTATCTGGGAAGCCTTAGTGTCTGATACTTGAGTCCATGGGTGAGAGCTCTTGTTTGAAAATAACTGTAAGGAATTTCTTAATTCTTACTGCCTAAATCCATATGTGGGGATTTCAATTGGGGAAGTTGTACACATGCGCAACGTATTGGTTTCTGGAGAAGGCATAACATATTTGTGCCGTTTTCTCTTTAAGGCAGGTAAGAGTGCCCTGTCTTTCAGCTAAGAACTGGGTTATTCTAACCCGGTATACAACTCTTTTTGTTATGGGCCTTTTGGTCCAACCTGAATGAACCTGGGAAAAATGATATATGGGGCAGAGCAACAGATCCCCATTTTCAAAAATGGAAGAGGGCTGGGATGGCAAATCCAACAGTTAGTGACATTAGCAGAGGAGGCAATAGCCTGAGTGATCTGGACTGGGGCATTGTTTTTCCAGGCTACGGTAATATCAAGAAGAGAAAACAAATATAAACAGCTAAGGATTGTTCTTGAATACGTATTTTAACTCTTTAAGGGGCTTGGCTTGCCAAGTATCCCTTTTATTGCAAGGCGTAAATCCCTGTGAAGTTGGAGCCACCGTTATCTGGGAGGGACGTTACCATGGTTTTATTCCAGTGGGTTTGACAGATGAGTGTGCGGTCAGCAGTATGTCAAAAGGGCCCGTCCATCTGGCAGCTGGTTGATTTTCAGGTCCTTGTTCCCTCCAAGTCTTCAGCGGTACTCTGTCACCAGGACGGAAAAGATGGAGGGGCACAGCAGACGGGTAAGCTGACCTGTTAGAGGCAAACTCACGAATACAAGTCACTATAGCACTGAAAGATTGGACATGAGCTGCTAATGCGACGTCCTTTAGAACCCCTGGTGATTCGCCTGGAAAAGAAGAAACCTGAGAAGGACGGCCATATAAAATTTCAAAAGGGCTCAGTTTAAGCCCACTTCAGGGAGCCACTCTCATCGACAGCAGAGCAATAGGCAATGCTTTGTCCCAGGTGAGGTGAGTTCCTTGACAAAGTTTAGCAAGGTTCTTTTTTAGGGTATGATTCACCTTTTCCATTTTTTCGGTGGGTTGGGGTCTCCAAGCTGAATATAGTGTCCATTTAATATTTAATGCCTTGGAAACCTGCTGAGTGAATTGAGAAGTGAAAGCAAGTCCATTGTCACCCTGTAACATATTAGGCAGGCCAAATCCCAGAATGACTTCCTTTAATAGAACCCTGACAACTTTCAGCAGCCCTCTCCAATTGGGTGGGGAGAAAGTCTCTACCCACCCAGAAAAGGTATCCACCAATACCAGGAGATATCGGTGATTTCCAGCAGCATAGGGCATTTAGGCGAAGTCCATCTGCCACTCTTCTGTTGGCCATTCCCCTAACTGTGGAGGCCCTGGAGCAGTTTGGGGATTATTTTTTGCACAACTCACGCAACTTTTAATTACTTGTTGCACAGCCTTTTTAAAATTAGATCCGCCATATATTTTTGAACCCAATATAAAGTATTGTCTCTCCCATAATGGGTATAAATATTCACCTTTTTCCCTGAGGCAGGTGTAAGCCTCAGGTTAGGGCTGTGATTTCTGTCTTCTGAGCTGAGGTTTCGGGAGGCAGGGCTTTGGCTTCTAAATTCTCATGTAAGGTCACACCTGAATATCTGGTGCATCTCTTACCTTGATCCATGAAGCTGCTGCCGTCTGTGAACAGTTCCAGTTCAGGGTCCTCAAATGGTTCCTCTTTCAGGTCTGGTTGGCTGGAATAAGCCATTTCTATAACTTGCAAACAGTTATGGTCTGTTGCTTGTGAAGTTTCATCGGGGAGCAAGGTGGCTGGATTCTAGGTTGAAGAGACTTGCAACCTGACATTTGGGTTATCTAGCAGGATGGCCTGCTGCCTGTTCATTCTGCCTGAGGTGAGCCGGAATCCTCCCTTCTGTTCCAGTAAGGGGAGGACATGGTGGAGTATATAGACAGTGGTGGGTTTGCCTAGAGTGAATTTCTCAGCCTCTTGTAGGATGTCACAAGTAGCAGCCATGGCTCTGAGACAGGGAGGCCAGCCTTTCACCATTGGATCGAATTGTTTGGAGAAATAGGCCACAGGTCTCGGAAGAGTCCCTAGCTATTGGGTTAGCACCCCTAGGCTTATGCCCAGCCTCTCATGCCCGTAAAGATTGTAAGGCTTTTCTAGGTCTGGCAGACCTAAAGCTGGGGCTGTTGCCGTTTTAGTTTTGATGGTGTCAAATGCCACTTGACATTCTTTCGTCTACTCCAGGGGTTCTGAGTCTAAGCCTTTTAAGGCCTCATATAGAGGTTTTATGCTAAGTGCATAATTAGGGACCCATACCCGACAGAAGCCGGCTGTTCCCAGAAACCCTTGCAATTGTTGGCGGGTTTTGGGAGGGCCCAGGCAGGTGATTGCTTTTTAGTCAGGCAATAATTCCCTTTGTACCTTAGAAATAATGAATGTCAGATAAATGACTTGTTTGCTGATTTGAGCTTTCTTTTGAGAAACTTTGTATCTGCATTTGGCCAGGTGATTTAGAATTTTGATGGCATTGGTTAAACATAGCTCATAAGAGGGGCTCGCTACTAGGAGGTCATCCACATATTGTAACAGTCTTCGGTCCT